ACGAACAAAAGTAAGAGAAATTTAGGAGAAGAATACGAACATGTTCTTGCATGAGGCCCATTGTGAGGTTTCTGCTGGAATCATAGTGTAATGCAAAACTGATAACATTTTAGAAAATGCCCACATAGCAGAGAGGTGTGGGCCAGAGATCTGGTGTCAAGCTGGCACTGCTGGCATGACATGTGGTTTGTCAACCAGGTGTGGGTCAGGTCTGGCAATGATGACACTGTTTTCAAGATGGCATACCACGACTAGCCTGGAGCACCTTTGGCAAACTACATCTGGGCCACCAAAGTGCCATCATTCTTTGTGGTATCTGGTCTGAGTGTTAATACATTGTGTGGGCCAGAACTGGGCCAGACAAATTTTGCTATGTGGGTAAGTGTCCACATGACAGGCGTGGCATGTAATAAGTCGACAAACTGATCAGAGCATCACCACCCTTTTGTTCATTGACAACTGGATGGATGCATAGATATGAAATGCTTTGAAGATTGTGAGACAGTTTTTGTTTTTTGTTTACAGCAGTGATCCACTCTGGTCTTGGTCCTACTCAGACAAGCCATCATCTCATCACTCTGGTCAGAATTAAACCTTTTTTTTCTAAACTGAATTAATTCAGAGATCTAGCTACACCAGGCAAGATGAAATCTGTTTACAATTTTCCAGAGTGAGACCATGTTGGTRCATGTGATTGACTAACACTGTTCTGCCAAGAAGCAATTAAAGTCCCATGTGTTCACTGAAAGTTAAACATGTTCTTTTACTAACTTTACCCATTGGATAAACCATTAAAAGTGTGAAAAATCTTATTGCAAAACCTAAATATATTCCTAATGGTAAAAAAAAAACAAAAACGTACAGTAGATTTGAAGGTGATAAATACCCAACACTTCTCTCAGTTCCTTCATGCTTTTTTTAAACTGCACAAGAAAGAAATTTATGCTTTTCAACTATTTTGGTTCCAGCATCGAAGCCCTCCATTTGCCCCAAAGGTATTTTCTCACCCACCACCTTTTTGCTTTTTGTTCTCCCAGGTTTTTGCACTCATGCTGCCATTGATCAGAAGTTGTACCTTAATGTGCTGATACTCCTTCTCCTCTTCTTGTAAAACCTCCAGCTGCTTCAGAGCGGATTCCTGCTGGAACTCGCCTCGTTCAACCTACACAGACATCGAGTTAAATATATTAGGCGCCTGAGCTCCTCCGCTCAAAATAAAATAGAGATTCTGAATCGAATGGGTTTAAGTTTTTATCGCTTGTTCGCCTTTTTATTTTATTTTTTTTATATCAAACATGCTTCACCTTCACTTGGGGCTGGCAGGGGGTATTAATAATTTATTAACAAAAATCTTTTATTTATCTTTACAAAATGCAGATTCGTGAGACATTTTTGCTGAATTCTACGCTTTAACATCAAGTGGGGAGTGCATCGTTAGTGTTTGACCGAAAAAAAKCCATATTATTTTAGAGGTATAACTATAAATCGCAGTAACCAAAAGAAGACAACATAATAAGACATGCATATATAAAACATTCTTCTTTGGATTACACAGCATGCCCATTTATATCCTGCTGTGGGTTTCTCTTTTCTTAGAACTCGTGGCATTGTGCTGACACACAGGAACAAAAAAACCTTTTGCCTTGAGTACAACACATATAAAATCTGCATGCATTTTTGTGCTTCCATTACTCATGAAATAATTTATTCCTCAGAAAAGAGCCCTACCAGCTGTAGCATTCATTCATTATTTAACTGTCAGTTTTCAAAGGACACGCCGAAATGCAAAGAAGGAGAAATAAAATAAAGTCGACAGTTTATTTTTGAGAACGGGAAAGGGAGGAAATGTAAAATAGGATGCTCTGACACTCACACTCACCATCAGCTGTTTCATGGAGTTGTGTTCTTCATTTTCTCGCGCCGCGTTGTGGTCCTTGTGCACAATCTCCACCCGGATGTCGTTTTTCGCCGACACGACTCCTTTCAGATCTGTCAGGAAATAGACGACACGGACGGTACGTCTTTATTAGGCTGCGAGGAAGCCCCGTTCTGTATTTGTTGACATAATAATTTTTCCGAGGGAAGTTTTTCAGTGTTAATATTTAACAAGTATCCTTGGGTTTGCTTTGTTACAGCGCTCCCATTTCCCCCAAAAAAACAATACAAAGCATTATTAATCATTTAATTCCTGCCAAGACAAGATAATATTTTAGCAAAAAAATAATAAAAATAAATAAAATAATAAAACAGAACAAAAAAATATAAAAACAAAAAAAAAAAAAAAAAAAAAAAAAAAAAAAAAAAAAAAAAAAAAAAAAAAAAAAAAAAAAAAAAAAAAAAAAAAAAAAAAAAAAAAAGAAGAAAAAATCAAATCAATCTTCCACAGTTTTCCAAGGGTGGCTCTCAGTTTGGGACAATGCTGATGTAATTCTGTCATATAACAAAGTCTTACTTTCTGTCTTAATTTTGCTTGCAAGTTCTCTCTGGTGAGCACAGATGGAGACGGGCAGTGAGGGCATAACCAGGTGCACTTCCTCTGTAGTATACAGACAATAGACATGCTGAAGGGACCAGTAAGCACAGCGTGGTTCTTGGACAGAGAGATGGTGGCTGACTCTCTCTAACTTGAGTCACTTGGTTTATGGGTGGGTGGCAGCGAACACAGTGCAAGATGTAAATAGCCTCAAAAGRCAATGCAGCCAGACTGGGATTGCATGAAATGAGCCCTGATCACAATCTGGCTATATCTGTTCACCACYAGAAGATGTCCATCTCAACCAGTGACTCATCCTATGGTAAGCATGATGCTAAGACTTTACTGTGTCAAAAACGTCCCCCCCACAACATTTTAGGTTTGTTAAAGGGATAGTCCAGTCATTTTTAAGGGATGCTATACTAACTAGTTCTCAATATTAGCTATAACTTCAATCATAGAGCAAGGAGCATGAAGACATATGCAGAGGTTTTTGTCAAGCCTAGGCCAATGGTTAACCAAATTTATGCCAGTTTTATTTCATTATATGAGTTTTGCACAAAAAAGCAAGAAAATGTGTGTATGGTACATTATTTTATAGTTGTAACGATGCTTCTTGGCAAAAAATCTTACGCTATTAAAAATCTTGTTWATTTCCCCTTGAAATGGTGCCAAATTTGTAAGAAACATGCATTTGTGGGATGAACAGTAGAGRTGAGTAAGTGGGTTAAACATTAAAAATGCCATCTCTTCCCTGCCCATTAGCAAACAGCTTATTCTGCTGTTGCATTGACACTTGTTTTGAGATTCTGGTACCCCCAGATGCTGCCAATCAGGTGCCCAGTATAAGATTTATTGACAAGAAGCATTGTTACAACAACAACAACAACAACAACAACAACAACAACAACAATAACAAAATAATGTGCCAAACACAAATTTCCTTACTTTTTGTGCTAAGTTTATACATAATGTATACTAAGGCTTATAAAACAACTATTTTTGAAAACAACACATTGTGGAAGAAAATAAAACTATGCTGCYTGTGTGCTCTGAGCACCTGTTTGCCCGTTGAGTGTGTGGTGTCTATCCAAAACTTTACTCAGCTCCCAGCAGACAGATACACTTGCAGCCTCAGCATCACTGACAGATAAACTTGTCTTGTTCAGAGCACACACACTGTACTTTTTTAAAGTAACATGGGCTTTTACTGTGGAGAAACAAGCATCAAACTAAACAAATGTCCTAAAACAGTTGAGTCAGGTCCTCTGAAAGGGCTCTTCTTTGTTGAATCATTTCATCTCTTCTCCAATGTATTTCTTTATTCAGAGAAGATGCAGGTGAGCTCAGCCTTATAAAGAGTACCTTCACATAGTGGATCAATCAGTTTACCAGTGACAARYTCCCAGTGGATTRCAAACCCCAAAACACATTYCAGCAAAGACTGGCTTACCCCAAAGAGKCAGTTCCCTGGCAGAGAAATGTTGTGTATGCTGTTAAGTGCSAGGAGGACTGTGACCAGTTATGCTGTACGTCGGGAGAACAAAGAAGCCACAGCTCAAAAGGATGACTCAGCACAGAAGAGCAAAATCATCAGACCAGGGGCCTCATGTATCAACGGGTGCATACGCACAAAAACCTTGRGWYCACCYTTTTCCACGCAAAATTCCAGATGCATCATATTGAAATGAACYTGGAAATGTACGCAGCCCCACGCCAACTCCAGGGCTGGCATACGCACATTTCTGTGGTTCTAGTTCCAGTGGCGACACCTAGAGGTGATTCTGAGAAACTGTTCATGATGTGAAAATAATTATTGTTCACAGCAGACACACATGATTAACAATTATTACATCCACATGGACGCAGCTAAATAAAAGARGCGCAAAGTTGTGCCAAAAATTCATTAAACAGGAACGATTCAGCCTTACTGGAGGATATAATAAATAGTGTAACACACACACAGCATTTATTTATAAACAGATCAGTCAACAAATCAGCCATTTTGAGGAAAAATCCTTTGTCAGTTTGACACTGCTGCACTCTGGGAGCGCGACACAGCTAGAAGCCGCGCGCCACGCGTGCACGTGCATAAGCAACGATCAAACTGGGGTTCCACAGGGGCTTTCCTGAGGGAGCTGGCAGACCGATCGGGACTGTGCCAGTCCAGTCCACCCAAAGCCAAATCATGGCCAACGGAACAGTCTCATCCATATGATTCTTATGATCCATATGATTCTCTCAAACATCACTTCACGTCATGGAAACTCCCCACTGAGGCGCAGACTCGTTTCTTCATATCAGCTATGAAATAAACTAAGATCTATGTTCTACCAAACTTTTAAGTTCCTCTGTGTTTACTGTAATTATGGTAATAAACTCATGCGCAAAGTTAATATTTCCAGGCTCAGAATGAATGGTTGAGCCGGCTGCGCATCACAGCAGCTTCCAGCGCACACGCATACGCARTGYCACACAATCACTTGTTCTTTGCATGACAAGCATATTTTACTCTTATTTTTACTTTAAACATGTGCAATAGGTTGCCTTCAGGCKCAGGCTTCCCTTGAAAAAGAGATCTGAGATCTGAATGGGARTCGCCTGGTAAAATAATGGTAAATAAACAAATAAATAATAAATAAATAACAAAGTTAGGATTTTTTTCTCACTCACATTATATTTAATTCATTATTTTCCTGACTCTAGAAATAATTTCTGATCGTGCAGGGATCACTCAAACATGTCCGTCACACATGCAGGAAGTAATTTGCATCTGTTTAACATATGTAAATGAAGGCGTGTCAGGGGAGGTGTCTTACGTGTGCTCAGTTCCAAGTTAATTGTGATGTACAAAAGAAATGTGCGTGGATTCAGGCGTGCACACAGTTTGATACATCTGGATTTTATTTATTTATTTATTTATTTATTTGCATACGCCGTTTTCAGGATTTGACCGTACGCCACATTTCAGAAAAAAATCCACGCAAGTCTTTGTACATGAGGCCCCTGGACTCTGCAGTTAAGACTCATCAACAGGCCAGCACTCACTCTCTCAGGGATGGTGACGTTCTCATCCTGGATAGGGAGAAACGTTGGTTCGAGAGAGGAGTAAAGGAAACCATATTTGTYATGAGAAACCTCCTGTCGTTAAACAGGGGTGGAGGCCTCCGTGTCTAATTGCCCCCCTCTTACAATGCTGTTCTTGCAAGAATGACTCAGCTGTCTGTGAACAAGTGGCCATCGGGGCACTAATGATCAGTCGTTAGGCCGGTGCTCCTTTTTTGCATGTGAAAACTAGTTTTGGTTGTGACCATTAAGCATCTTGGTTCACTGAGAGGTYCTGCTTATACGGCTGAGCTTGCCTGCAACTCCTCAGACTTAAGAAGTCTTTTGAAGAAGAGATAAAATGTTTCAACAGGCCCTTGTTTGGCTAGCCAGTAGTCTCGCCTTGACAAATATGTTTGCCTCTTTTCCCACACTCTGTGCTTTATGACTGATAAACTGTTTTACAGAACATTGCTTTATAGATGACTAGACTATCCTTTTAATGTTAAGAGATACCTACAGATGTTTTCCCATTTGAATCCAATCAATCTTTTCATTTGAACAGATGGACATTTTCCAGTGTGCTCAGGGAAAATACAGTACAATGGTATTCATACTTTAGTGGGTGCAAGAGCATAAAAGGAGCCATACTTCTCTGGGAGCGGGTGCAGCAGAATGCGCCGATGGTGCCCATTAGCACAATGAGGGCCACGAAAGCTCCCACGGCGATGCCGATGATCACAGCCACTGGCAGAGATTCTGCAGAGAGCAACATCAAGACATGTCCTTCTATAATAAAACACCACAAACATATCCTGTGTACACAGGGTATAAGACAGGGTTTGTGACAGGGCAGCACACAGGCTCAGAGAACATGTTTTTTTTTTAGTTGACACACACACAAGCATCAGCTCTCCCCTTGTCTTTTTTTAAGAAATCGCACAAGAACAACAGCAGGAGGTAAAAATACACAGGTTCAATMGCACAAACAAGAACTGTTTCCTAACAGCATCCAATTTGAAGTAATTACGAAAGTTTGCATTTGTGTGTGAAAAGATTTTTTTATAGTCACTTACTATTTTTTCTCTTATAAATGTGAATACATTTAAATGATTGTCATGCAGTTCTGTGATTTTAATTAAGAAGTGTTAACAAGTTAATTTAAACAATCATCTTCATGTACTCTGGAACAGATGTGTGCACTTGGYAGCAACCAAGATCTTAATAACACAGCGATTTAATTCTTCCAAAACATTTTGTTTTCATTTTTTTTTCTAAAAATATCCTTGTWACCACACCAAAACACCTACAAGAACCAAAAATGCCACAGTAGCTAAGCCAGGTTTGTATGTGGAAAATGACCTATTTAAATCTCACAGTTGTGGCACATTTAAAAAAAACCTCCTTCAGTGTTAATTATAAGATAATTAGATCGTCTCCCAGACCATGTCACAATCACACTTGTAGCCTAGACATGAAGATATGCTACATTGACAGTAATAAACCACTACAAGTTTGCTCCAGAATTTTTGTGCACTCRCGAAACTATTGGGAGCACAAATTGTGGGGAGGTCACTGTGTTCCAAAGAGTTTTCTAATGAGACCACTTCTGACAGATTTTATTTTTTTTTACGTTGTAGCAGGGTTGATATCCAAAGTGATGGGTACCCTTTGAGTGTGCACAGAGGGGTAGAGGTGCCCTGGTTCTTTTACGAAAATAGGCAAAATAAATGAAAAAATAAATAAAAAGCAATAGAAAAATGTAAAATGTGTTTGTTAAAATACTGTTATAATATGCCTTTTTTGGTGTATTCTCGTGTGTTGTTAGTATAGCTTCTCAGCCATCCAGGACATGGCAGGTAAGCAAAAAAAAAAAAAAAGTTAAAGAGGTCTCATCACGCAAAATGCACCTTTTTAGCCATTAAATGCCTCTTGCTGTACTTGGAGTCTCTAGGAGTGCAGAAAAGTTTAATTTAGTCTTTCCCAGTGCTGCAAAGATATCTTTAAATCGCGTTTGGGTCACATTTTTCAACCCGTTCAGTTTCCTCTCCATGTCCTATGATGCTCTCTGTGTCAGTATCTGTCTCCAACATGTAAGGCTGGATGGACAAATTTTCCCTTGTTGATATATTTTAATCAATTTGTAAATAAAATGTTTTTGCACTGTTATATAGCAATAACCACGTCTATCAAACTAGAATGAACGGTCTGGGGTGTGAAGTGCCTTATTTGGATTTAAATAAACAGCATTAAAACATGTTGATCTGAGACATACCTCAGAAAAGGGGTGAAAGGGGCTTGTAAAGTTAAAAAAAGAGGAATTCCGACTAAAGCATTGCATTTCCACTTTATATAGAACCCAACTGAATTATTTAAATGTGAAAAAGGATTTAAAAGCCTGATATGTCTACTTTAATATGCTGAAGTGTTTTGCAGTAACACTATTTAAATAGGCACATTAGTGTCGAAAACACAGTATAGTGTATTGTCTTTCTGAAGGGGTGTCTCATTTTGTAATGGAATATTTGACCAGCTATAGCTCCCGGTTTCAAATTAAGGGCCAAGTGGTGGTAACACTAAGTAAGAAGATTTAACTAGTCAAGCTTTGAGCAGAAACAGTTATGTCATGAATTAAAAGCTTTCTGCACATCCACAGCAGCACATTGACCCAGAAACACACTTAACAAGTCTCACATTGTGAAAAAGTAACATCACAAACATTCTAACCCAGAGAACTACATCGAAGCACAGAAACACCTACAGCTTGGTCATTTTTTTTAAACTATTACTTTCTAAACAAACATACAAACCCCCCCACAAGGACATGATTTTAAAAAGAGGAAGGTGGAACCTGTCGAACCTTGGCTCCCACCTTGTTCCTTAAGGCGTATAATCTCTGTATCAGAGCCGAAGCTGTTCCAGGCGGTGCAGTTGTAGATGGTCTGGAAGTCAGCTGGGACGATGTTACTCATGGTCAGAGTGGAAATGACGCCCTCTTCTGTGTTTACGGTCTCTACAGTGTAGCGCCCAGAGGTACCAGATTCCAGAACAGTTTCCTTCCATGACCAGGCCTAAAAAAATAAAAAACACAGRTGGTTTCAATTACCAATTTATAAACATTGAAAATATATCTAGCCTTATCCATAGCTGTTGAAATGCTTGTAACAGAAATGATTCAAGATATTTAAGAGAATGTATGCATCAACATTTATTATTGGTGCCACTATACCAATGCACGACTTKTGGCATGAGCAAATAGTCAAGACTGGAGAGGACATTTACACCACCCATTGCCGTACTTGTCTTAAACAATCTTATGAAAAGAAAAACAGGTTATGTGGCAGAGAGGGCACAAGAAGAGRCATGGACATGGACACTTTAAACAGAATGCATCAAAAGTGTCATTTTGTATGCTTTACATTTTAGGCAATGTCTAATACATTTTTTTAGACATTTGTTCAATCTATACAGTAGATGCCCGTCGAAGCAAAACAGTACATTAATTCAGCTCTGATGCTCTTTCTGTTTTACAAAAAAATAAGTTACAAAAGGTGTGTTTTGAGAGGCTGAAGTGACACAAGACCTCCTCACATGACTGGGGATATGACATTGGTTTTGGTGTGAGAGGGTATTTGTGGCAATGTGAACACGAAATRAAATATTAAATATTTGCCAATTCGAAAAAAAAAAGTTCTAGTGTATCTTGTTTTGGCTGGTTAAACCATTTTAAAATATTGTTCTGTCACTAAATTGTAGTGTTAAAAGTCCATTTATTTCTAGCCCATTGGCTGCACTCACGTCCATTTGTTTAGCTGCCAACTGCTAACTTCTCTAATATTTGTTGGCTGAGATGATGTTTAATAGATCATTCCAGATTAAATTTATTTCTCTCATTTCACTTTTTGAAATACTGTGCTTTTTAGATTTGGCTACTGGGGAACTACATTTAACTGCAAACAAAACATGTTATTTATTGAACTAAATGTCCGCACACCAGGGAGAGCAGAGGAACATAGGGGTTACCAGGTTTTTGCACTCAGTTTTTGGAACAATTTTCTGCTGAATATTAATATTGCTTAGAGTGCTGAGACTTTTCTTTCTCTTCTTAGGGTTCAAATTTTGTCTGTCTTTCAACTCAAACCGAGTACGAGACTCAAAGCTCATATATGGTGCTGTGGTTTAACACAATTTTTCTTTTACTTTTTCATTGTACTTTAAATCTGTTTAATATCACTTTATTGTTTGCCTTTTATTTGGTTGTTTGAGTAAACTGTAAAGCTCATTTGTCAAAAAGTTACTTCCACAAAAAACGTTTCAAACAAATATTTTGTGTGATGATGCTCAGCTATTACCACACCATGTTTGAGAWCAATAGCTGTAAAAATGACTAAGATGTAGTCATTTTTGTAACATCCCAGGCCGATTTCTGAGAGGTTCATTAAAATCCAACCAGTGGTTCATGAGCTATTTTGCTATAAAGTCATTAAAATAGAAAATACATGCACACATATCCTCAAGTTACAAAGAAAACAACTATTATAAATTTAAATAACATATGTTAAGTTTGCTCTTGTGAACCACATCCCTTCACTCAAACACATCTATTATTAATGGATGTATTAAAGGAACACCCATAGCCCAATGCCTCACATGCCAACATTTTAAACAAAGATCTTGTGTGATCAGATAGTGCTGAAAAGTATCTGTTTAGGCTGAGGCTCAGCTACTATCATGCCATGGTTTAGCTCAATAACTGTAAAACATGACTAGATGCATTTAATTTTGTAAAATCCATTGTGATTAGCTGTGGTACTATTTATTCAATGACTTTCTGAGAGTATATTAAAATCTAACACACAGACAAATGAACACAGACAGTAACTGCCTGCCTTTCTTGTTTATGGGTGAAAGCTATGCTCTTTGTTTTTGTTGGGTCAGTAAAAAAGTTCCCTTTATAAAATGAATTATGTTGCAATAAATGCATTTGAAAGCACATAAGATTAAGGTGCATTTGTATGCATTTGTATTTGTGTAATCGTATTTAAATGAACAATATAAACAAGGGATGGGCAACTGGTGGACATGTGGTCCGCCAATGACCCCCACCCCCCAAAAAGATATATATGTGTGTGTGTGTGTGTGTGTGTGTGTGTGTGTGTGTGTGTGTGTGTGTGTGTGTGTGTGTGTGTGTGTGTGTGTGTGTGTGTGTGTGTGTGTGTGTGTGTGTGTGTGTGTGTGTGTGTGTGTGTGTGTGTGTGTTTAACCTAGAAAAGCAGCTTAGCATAGTAGCTTTTAGATTAATTTTTGGAAAAAAGTATGAAAGTGTATATTTGTACGCACAAACCTTAATTATAAAGTTTTATTATGGGTAATTGTGCAGAGCCATATGCTCTTATGGTAGTGTCAACAACAACAAAAAAAAATGTAGCCCTTCCACCAAGTTGCCTAGCCTTGACATAAACACTTCAATAAAAGAAATAATTGATCAAATAAATGAGCAAATCAAATACATACCTGAGACAACAAAATACCCCCCTCAAAAAATAAAACATTCATGTGTTAAAATTCATTTGTAAGTTTTGAAATGGCACTTGCATAAAAAAACAAAAAAACAAATCTAAGATAAAAACGTAACACGACACATAAATGATCCAAATGTACTCACAATGCGATCTGGTGGAGGTGTGCTTCGAATGAAGCATTTGATTTGTCCTTTCTCTCCATGTAACGCTTGCTGAGTCTGCGTACTGGATATAGTCGGTGGCCCTGGAAATAAAACAAAATTGAAACATGAGCATTTAGTCATTTCCAGTTTCGGCTCGTGATAATTCTGTTCAATTGAGTTCTTGTTGGTACAGATTACACTCAGCCAAATGTCTTCTGTTTCAAGCAGCAACTGTTGGAGTGTTCAGTCATTTAGGACTCCTGGGAATGGGGGCATTACAGAGAGTTATAGCTCATCCGTGAGCACAGTTTCATCTCAGACAAACCAGGACTGATCACAGGACATGGGTGGTGATCTAGACCTGACTGTGGGCTAGGAGTTTGTTGATTTATGGCTCGTAAATGCTCCAATAAACACTGTTCRCTACAGCACAATAGACAAATAAAATAAAAAAAGCTATTGTGGGGAGATGACCTTCTCACAGCAAAGTCTCGCCACAATCCATATGCATGCACTAATAAATATTCAAGTAGATAGGCAAAAAATATATATACATTRAATTTATGGATTTGTTTTAATTAGTCTTAACTAACTTTTTGGAAAATGCTTGCATGATTTTCGCTAGAAATCATAGAACCTCTCAGAGTCAATAAGAGGTGGCTAAAAACTTCCAACTCTAGATGAAAAGAAGAAAATATGAGTCTAGGCAGAGGTATGTAAAGTATTTGAAAAAAAAAWAAAACCTTAACAGAAAATGACTTTGGTAAAAATGAATTTCATTGATAAGAAAKATTCTTAAMAAAAAGCCATTTAACTGCTCACAATAAGTGGGAAAGTAACATACTGTTCGTAGTAGATTTACTTTAAAAAAGTCACCTGGTRCCACTCAACATGTTTTTTGAGCGTAAAAGTACTTTTACAAACACACTATGGAATTAAGTTTTGAATTTACTTAACCAAATCATGACAACTAGTTCCACTGAACAAAATTGAGTAAACGTAACAGTGTATAAAGTTGGTTTAGTGGAACCAGGTGACATATCACTTCCTTACTATCATAGACACATTCCCTGACATTTCATACCATTTCTATGCTGACGACTTGCACCTGTACAGSTCTTTTAATGACTCCAGCTTCCACAAGCTGCATTCCTTWCTAAACTGTATCACTGGAATTAATCGCTGGCTATCAGACAACCTTCTGCTCCTTAACCTTTCTAAGACTGAGACACTGATCCTGGCACCAGAAAATAAAATCACAGAGATAAAAGAGCAGCTTGGCTCTCTGGGTCCAACAGTTAAACAGAACATACGAAACCCAGGAGTCAGCTTAGACTCAGATCTGTCCCTGGATAAACACMTTGAAAGTCTGGTTTCATCATGCTTCTTTCAGCTCCGTAACATCTCAAAACTTCACCCTATACTGTCTGCCTCTGACCTAMAAATGCTAACCCGCGCCTTTGTCTCGACCCGCCTAGACTATTGCAACAGCCTGTTCACCTGCCTGAACCAAAAACAGATTAATCGTCTTCAACTTGTACAAAACTCAGCAGCTAGACTTCTAACTCGCACTTTGAAACTCTCCCACATTACTCTGTCCACTTRAGACTCAGATTCAAAATTCTAGTTCTCACCTTCAGAGCCCTARATGGTCAGYCACCCAACTACATCTCGAGCCTCATCTCCTGCTATAATCCAATACGCAATCTGCGTTCACAAAATTAGAACCTTCTCATGGTCCCCCCTACRTGTCTCAAGACCTGCGGAGATCGTGCTTTATCCTCCATGGCTKCCAGACTTTGGAATYTRCTCCCYGTCCGTCTGCGCTCCCTTAATAACACTGACACKTTTAAAAATCAACTAAAAACACATTTATTCACTCAAACATTTAGCTAAAGGTARCCTGCCATCCACAACATAATCCTGYARCTAAACTTCCATGACTGCAAAACACATATTTTACTTCTGACTGGTGTCCATTCATTTACATTTTATACGCCACAACCATGGACTCAAATTAGCTACAGGCAAGCCTATCTATTGTATATACCTTAATTACTCTTTTTTTAATCATTGATATTCCATACCCCCTACTATTCCAAAAATTGAGAATGTATGAATTAATTTCATCATTTGTAATGTAATTGTCAAGTATTTCTGTTTTTTTTCTATTTGTGTTAGATTATTGTACAGCATCGTCTGCTTATCAACTCTTTCTATAATATTTATTATTGTACAGCACCTTGTGAATTCCATTTCTGTGAAAGACTCTTTATAAATAAAATTTTACTTACTTACTTACTTACTTACTTACTTACTTACTTACTTACTTACTTACTTAC